AGGGACTGGGAGTGGCCGGCTCACTACAAAACCGATTTTCCCTCTCTTGGTATTGACACCTCTTCATCAATTATTGGGAGTGGACCACATCCACCCTGACTAAATTGGCCTTGTCAACACTGGTTCTCCACTTGTGAGGTAACGCCCTTCTCTTCATGTGTCAGTATATTTATGTCTGTATCTGTAATTTTCACTCCATGCATCTGAAGAAGGGGGATTTTTACCTACGAAAGCTTATGCTCTAATAAATTTGTGTCTCTAAGGTGCCACAAGTACTCCTGTTCTTCTTGTTGTTGTTTTTGTGGATACAGATTAACACGGCTACCCCCTGGTACTTTATGTTTTAGCACAGATCTAGGAGCTCTGTGTAAGCCCCAAAGCTGGTCTCTCTCACCAACAGAAGTTGGTCCAATAACAGATATTACCTCCCCCGCCTTATCTCCATTGTAGCACTGGTCACCTTCCATCAGGAGGGATCCCATTTAAAGGGTTCCCTATGCAGCTGCCACCTCTGGGGCGGATTGCAGCTGCAGCTTATCATCAGGGATCCTAGTTTTCCGTGATAAAAAACATTCTGTGATTTAAAAAAAAACCCATAAAAATCTGCGTTTTTCCATGATTAAAACGAAACGCTGAATTTAGTAGAATCCCATTTATCTGAGCCCCCATTATCCAGCTCTCTGTATTAACAGAACCACCAGCCACCCAGGTCTGACAGTGCCAGGGCTGGGGCGATCAGCCCCCAGGTACCTGGGGCTTGGACCGTTACAGCTGGTGGTTCTGTTAATACAGAGAGCCGGATACTGGAGGCTTGGATAAATGGGGTTCTACTCCATATGTTTTTATCTTTTCACAAAATGGAAAAACTAAAAATTCTCTGTAAAAACTCAAACTCTGGGGTTTTCCGTAGCAAACAGATTTCTAGGATCCCTACTTATCACCCACCAGCCACTGCTTGCAGGACCTTGGGTAAATCACTTAAGCTCTGTCCTTTCATTTCTCCTCTATAAAAGGAAGATAATAGTTTTGGCTTGTCTAGTTAGATTGCAAACTCTTCATAATAGGAACTATCTTGTACTACATGTTTGTAGAGTACACCATTAGCACAATGGGGCCCTGATCTTGGTTAGAGGCACAAGATGCTGCTAAATAAATAATCTTACTTCATATTTGTTTAGTGCTGACACCGCGCTCATCACTGTACAAGAGAACTTGGCAGGAAATGGGTTATTTCCTCCCATGAAAAATGTTGATGAAATTTTAGAAATTGTGCTCCCTGAAATTCTTCTTTCCAAATTCCTCAGGATTTTGTTGAAAAGCCCAAAAACCAGCAAATGAAAATAATTAAAAAAAAAAATGGCTAGTTGGGCAAACATTTGTGGGTTTACTAAACATTTTTGCTCCAGTGTCTGAAATCTTTCAGTTTTACCAAAAAACGACCAACCAAAAAAAAAGTGTTTTTTTTTCCAACAAAAAACAATCCCCACCATTTTTTTTTTGTCAAAACCAAACATTTCATGGCGAAGTTTCCATGTGGAGAAAACAGTTATTTTTCTTGGAAAAAATGGTTAGAGCAGAGGTGGGCAAACTACAGCCCGTGGGCCACATCCGGCCCGTTGGACCCTCCTGCCCGGCCCGGGAGGCTAGCCCCTGGCCCTTCCCCTGCAGTAGCAGTGAATGAGGCCAGGTCTACACTGTACATGTAGCTGTGTAATTAATAATAATTATTATTAATTAATGGAGATATCCCATCTCCTAGAACTGGAAGGGACCTTAAAAAGTCATTGAGTCCAGCCCCCTGACTTCACTAGCAGGACCAAGTACTGATTTTGCCCCAGATCACTAAGTGGCCCCCTCAAGGATTGAGCTCACAACCCTGGGTTTAGCAGGCCAATGCTCAAACCACTGAGCTATCCCTCCCTGTGTGGGGCAGGGGTCTGATCCCTGACCTGATCCCTAGTGTAGACACAGTTATACTGGCAAAGCTGCACTTTTGCCTCTGTAGATTGTTTTGTATGGAGGGGTTGGGGAGGGCTGGACTAATCTCTATCCTCATTAGCTTTGCCAGTATAAGCCGCGTCCACACTAGGGGTACGTCTACGCTGCCGTCAGGAGGTGTGACTGCGTGTACACATACCCGAGCTAGCGTGGATCTAGCTTAGCCTGTGCCCAGGCCACTCAAGCAGGTACCCAGGCTCTGGGCGGGCAGGGCTAGCTCAGGCTACGGCAGCGTCACTGCCAGCGTTACTGCTGTGCTGGGAGCTAGCTAGATCAAAGCTGGCTGGGGGGAGTCTCCACGTGCTGCAGTCACGTCTCTGAGTGCCGGACAGCCCCACCCTAGCAGTGCAGCGGGCCGGCCCGCCCACACCAGCAATGCACGCCCACGCATGGCTTGAAGCGCAGGGTGCGCTGCCCCAGCCTCTGCCGGGCGCTGACCGAGGGCTGAGTGCAGGTCTCCTGCCCGGCCGTGCAGGGCACCACCCTGGCCTACTAGAGACAGTGTCCGTGGGGAGCTGGGTGGCAAAGGGATCTGAGGCCGCCTAAGGGCCCTGACTTGTATCTCTTCATGTCCTCTAGCCACGTCCCCGGGGACAGCAGCCTGTGCCCAGCCTTGCAGCATGTAAATGAAGGCCTGGGAGAAAGAGGAAGGCAGAATTTCACAAGCCACAGCTGCAGGGAGCACTCGAGCGAATCCCCGCTCGGCCGGGGGAGCTGCACAGAAGATTTTAGACGCCAGCTCCAGCCTAAGACCGAGCTAGGCAGCTGCAGCACTGCCGATCTCCTCGCGGGAAAAGGAAGTGGGGTCACTGCGACTTCCTCCGGGCTTTCCGCCTCCCTGGGGCCAAGCGGGGCAGGGGCGTCAACCATGGCTTGGGAAACACGTGTGAGAGCTTGCCAGAGAGAGGCGCTCCCAGGAGGCAAAAGGAGGAATGGACGCTCCAATAACAAACCAGCGTGGGCCTCCCCAGAGCGACCCTACAATAACGAACTGGTGCATAGAGTCGGGACGGTTCTTGGGGCACCCAGGACTGAGGGTCACTTGGCTACCCCTTGCCCCGAGTGAGAGGGCGCTTGCCCATGGTGGCCGTGTGTCAGCTCCCGAACACCACCGGCCTGTCAGCCACTCAAGCGCTCTCCTCTGGGCTAGGCCAGCCCTGGCTTCGCCTTGCAGGTTAACACTGGGTGCACCCCAGGCCCCGAGTCCCTTTGGATCGTTCCCCTGTGATAGCCAGCCCCTGGCACTCGCTCCTCACAGAAATCCCGCCTCTCCTGCCCCCCAAGGAGCAGTGCACCCCCCAGTTAATCACCGCTCCTGTAAACCGCACAGCACCTGTCAGCAAACAAAGGAAGGTTTGTTTAAGCAAATATAGAGATTCTACTGGAAACAAGCGAGAGCCCTGGAAACAAATGGTTCCCAGACAAAACAAAATCCTGAAACACGACCCTGGGCCTACACTTATCGCTAGTTCCCCTGCCTAGTTAATACAGTAAGTTTCCCCCTCACGGTTCAGTCTGTTGCGGAGCCGGCTGGCTTCACAGGAGCCAGGATCCAATTTTTCATGAGAACACCCCCGCCCCTCAAGAGGTCTCCATCCTTCATGAA